CGAACCCCAAAGATTTTATGCAAGGGATTTAACCTTAAAAGACTTCTTTTTGGAAAAGAATTCCTGCCAAACAAACCTTATATCCTATACCTATATCTAGGATTTATTTGAGAATAAATAAGGGTTCTCATCTATGATTAGAATTATTCTTTTCCCATATTTTCTTTTCTAATTTTTGTTCTAAGTTCTATGGCTTGCTAAAAGGCCAACTAAAGTTGGGGAAGATACTTTCAATGAAGTATGACATTTATTATTGATTCAATATTCTTTTTAATGCATGATTTATTCTTTTAAGTTAATTCTTGTCTTCTAGCAAAGTTTTTACTCTGTATAATTTTTTGATTTATTGTGCCACGTACATCGAATGCTTGAGATTACTGCGAGTCAAATAACTGGTTATTCCATATTTGAATTAATTAATTAGAATTTCTCATCAGATAGTTGATTTATTATTTACAATAAAATAAGATTTACTTGTTAGAAAGCTTGATTTATGGTAGACTTCGGACACGGTGAATTCTTGTAATCTACAAGTAAATTCTTATATTTATTCAGATAATTCGTTAATTATAATTTTTGATGTTTTCATATTATCACCGCTAAATATTCCGATTGAGATCACTCCTCAGTTGATTCTCAACTGAGTTTAAAAACTGGATTATTAATAATTACTGTGTGGATTTGAAAGGGTATCCCCGATACTTTAGTATTTTCAATTATTGTTTTAAAACTAAATTTCAAAATATCTACAAAAATTTTTTTAAATCACTGTCGTGTAGTTCATTGTCATTGAGTTTGTTGTCGTGGAGTTCATTGTTAGTGGGAGGTGGGGGTGGGGGGTGTTGGGTGGTGGTGGTGGATTTCTATGGTAGAAGAACTGGATTTACTCATATTGTCATTAAAAAAAAATAAAAAATTAGTTTAGTCCTCTCGCCTTAAAAGTTCAGATGAGCTGGACCTCTCTCTTAAAAAGTACATGACTGGATTTATTGACAAATTAGGTACGGACTTTGTAGTTGTCAACAATACTCACAAAAATTTATTTGTCATTTAAAAAAAACTCTTAGAAGAGATAGAGGTAGTATGTGATTAGGGCAGTTAGCTGAACTTAAATAGTAATCTTCATCTATCTATATATAACTAAATTAATAGGGATGAGGAGCACTTGATGAATCTTAGTTATACATAAAAGGTGGGGCTATTCTCACCCCTAAAATATCTATCCTCACCCCATTTGCTATTGCCACCACATTCTATATCCATTCTAGTGATTAATCAATCCTAAATCTACAATCACCACCTGCGCCATCAAACCCACACAACCCCAAATCTCCACCTGGCAATGAAGCAATTTTTTATGTTGATTATCAAATGGAAAATACTCAAGCCAAATATGATGAATGAACTAAAGGATTGGGGGTTTTATACTGCGGTCATGTAGTCAAAAATAGGGGCAATTGATGTTGTGAAGGAGTTGTTGAAGACTATGTTTGATTCATCAACTTGATTAGTTCAATTAATACTAACTTATTATCTCATTTTTCATCTGTTGGTTTAGACAATTGTGATTTTAGGTTCTCTTACTAAAATTGAGGATAGAATTTAAGGTTTGGGTGTTAGGATTCTAATAAAGGGTGTGATAGGGTTAGAAAATAGATGTTTAATCATATATGTTTGGATGAACAAACAAAAAAAATAATTTAAAAGTGGTTTAAGTAGAAAGGGGATGAGAATGAATATTTTAGGGGTAAGAATAGCCTCAACCATACATAAATTAGTACCGAATAACGAACCAATAAGAATACACCAAATAAAAATTTACGTAATTATTACAAATAAAAATTTAAGAATTTAGGATATTATTATTAAGAGTAAATAGCAGACCCACCAATAGAAAAGTGCCACATAAGATTTTCAAATATCTAAAAAAAAATTTAAGAAATGAGAAATGGATGTTTGAAACTCAAAGAGGGTACTACATTGTTATCTATTATAGTATCGATACGTATTTGAGTTCTATAAATGTTCTAAAACTGGACAGTTTCATCTATCTACTAGTTCTCTTACATTCTATTTCAGAGGACTCTTTGTAATGACATATAGGATAGAGAATGGTACCTTAGGCTAAACATATAAACTTGAACTCAAACTCACTTATAGGGTAACAAATAACAAAACTATTAATGGTAAATTAAGGCAATGGGTCCATGCTTGCATTACTACAGCTAAGTTCTCCATAAATATGAATGGAGAGCTAGTTGGTTACTTCTCTAGTGCTAGAGGATTGAGGTAGGGAGATCCATTATTGCCCTACCTTTTTTGTAACTGCAATGGAGTTTCTTTCCTTGATAACACAGAATAACATAAAATTCAATCCCCAGTTTAAGTATCACTGGAGATGCACAAAACTCAAAATAGTTCAACTCCCTTTTGCAGATGATTTGATATTATTTTGTCATGGTGATGTGATTTCAGTTCAATCCCTGAAGAGATCTTTGGATCAATTTAGTCAACTCTTAGGCTTACTTCCCAATGCTTAAAAGAGCAACATATATTTATGTGCAGTTCCAGAGGGTGAGGGATCACAAATCATAGAGATACTTCGGTTCCTTATTGGAGAATTACCTATCAAATACGTTGGAGTTCCACTAGTATCCACCAGGCTTAAGGCTCAACACTGCATAGGCCTCATTGAAAGGGTAGAAACCAAAGTAAAGTCTTGGATCAATAAGTCTCTATTCTACACAAGAAGGCTACAATTGGTAATTTCAATGCTTAGTAGCATGGATGTCTTTTGGGCTACCCATTAGAGCTTACCACAGAAAGTGTTGGACAAACTTGAACAAACTTTGAGGGCTTTCATTTAGAAGGGCTCTGAGCTCAAATACATTGGAGCTAAAGTTGCATGGAAGGATGTTTGTAAGCCAAAAAGTGAGGGTGGGCTGGGTATAAAGAGGTTGAAGGAATAGAGCAATGCTCTGTTTCTGAGACACATGTGGCAATTGTTTAATGACAAGGAAAACCTATGGACCCAATGGATACATGCTTACTACATAAGAGATAAGAGACTATGGGAGCTTAAAACCCCCCAAACCTGCTCACACATTTGGATGAACCTTCTAAAACTTAGGGATGCCCTAAGACCTATAATGGTGCACATTGTAAGGAATGGATAGCACACAAGCTTTTGACATGACAATTGTTACCAAGAAACAACTCTAATATAGTGCAACAAGCAAGAATTCCAAGGGAAGCAAGAGTCAGCAAAGTTATAGCCAACAACCAATGGAACAGAGCTACATCTACTCAACTAAGTGTGTAGAATATTTTCAACAACATGCCAACCTACCTTCCTGATCAGACCAGAAATGATTTTGTGAGATGGAACATTACCACTGATGGGAAATACTTAGTCAAATCTATATGGGAACACTTGAGGAATGCAACTAGTATAGTCTCTTGGCATAAATTGGTATGGTTTGGCCAATCAATACCTGGAATGGCCTTCATCCTATGGTTAGCCATTAAAATGAGGCTGTAAACTAAGATAGAATCTAGGTTTTCTCGAATGAAGTTGACACTCAATGCGTCTTGTGTAGAAAGGCAAATGAAACTCACAACCACCTCTTCTTTTAATGTGACTACTCTTCTAGAGTTTGGAACTCCATTCTTCTTCAAAGCAATCAAAAGGACAACAAAGGCAATGACATGAATTAATTGAATGGGCTACTCAGCAGTGGAAAGGCAAGAAGATGACCACTATTATCCTGAAGATTAGTCTTTCTACTACTGTTTGCCATCTATGGAAGGAAAAAAGCGCTAGAATCTTCAAAAATCATACTACTGACTTTCATATTCTCTCAAGATGGTTAAGCAGACTATTAAGGAGAGACTCCTTACCTTGAAATTCAACCGCAGACATCAAAATGCCTTGACCTTGCTTTAATAGAACTTGCCTGATACATGTCTCCATTAAGTTTTGGTTATGATGCTTGCTTGCAACAATGAATTGAGGCTTACAAGGCTTAGCCTCCATCCATCTTGGTAAGGGATTCTAGGGGAAGAACTGGCTCAAGACCTATACTTCCCACAGATTTCCAAACTAAAGATGGATGTTTTGTTTTCTTTTTTGAGTTTTGAGGGGAACCTAATCTTTGTAAAGTTTCATCCTATGATTCTTGTGTATTTTTGTCTTGATCAATATATTACTTTACTTTCTGAAAAACGAAGGTAAGTTTACTTAATTTTTTATTCCGATTTGGGATCAATCCACAAGGTTAGGGATAGGAAACCTAAATCCACCTACAAATATAAATTGACTTCGAAAAACCCTACAGACTTGCATCAATTATTGCATGATAATTCCCTAAAATAACATACCTGCAGAGTTTGATGAAGATTCCATGCCTAAAAAACAAGCTCACCAGCAAGAAGGTTGTGGTCACTGCAAAGATGGTTAGAGCACTATGTGTGTAGGAGAGGGGAAGACCAGACTACTCTCTTTTCACAATTCTTTTTCAGTGTAATGAGGAGATATCTACTCTGATCCCATACACGAATCGTTGCTAACCCATTAATTACTAATGATTCGTATTAGAATTGCGAAAAGACAGAAAGCCAAAAAATCTCATTTATTTATATGACAATCATTAATCAAATGAAAAATGACTGTGCTACAATAGTTGATGACTGAAATTAAGTAAACAATAAACCCCTAAATATGCTGAATCCATCGTTTTTGCTTTGGATTCAGCCCACTATGTGCTAAAAACAACAGCTAAAATCTTATAATGTTCATTTTAATCTTCAAGCTTCCACTTAATAAACAGTCTGTTAGAAACATATAACCAGCCATTTATTTCCTTCTTAAATGCACAGACAAACCCATCAACCAAGCAACACAATTGCCATAAATGGTACCATTGTCATCAAGTCAATTACATCTACAAAGCTGCATAAACAACTAAAATGTTATCTTACTTGCGCAAAGCTTGCTGGTTTTAAACTTTATTAAACTTTCCACCATAGTTTCCCAACAAGTTTCCTCCTCCATCCATCAAGATGTGAAAAAAGTTGTCATCCTCTACGTTGCCCATGTTAGAGTTAATAGTTGACCTGCCATAGTCATTCAATTGAAGTCCTAAGGTTTCATGCTCTTTGCAATTCGTGACAAACTCTTGGCAAGAATAAGAATAAAGATGCTGAAAATTTCTTGAATTCTCGTCCTCACACTTCTTCTTGCTCTTCCTTGTCATCTTGTTCGAAATTATGCTGATATTGTCCCATGTCTCTTTACACCTAGCTGCACTCCAATCATAGCCCATTCTAGCCATTTTTGAAGCTATTTGCTCCCAAAGGCGGTCTTCTGAATGCCCAAATTCGTTAAATTTAGGTTCCATGCTAGTTCTCAACTGAATTAAACTCGAGATCTCGGTTTCAAGCCATGCCTTACTTGAGGTAACGCAAATCGGCATTCCATTCACTTTGTCTTCCGAGTTCTCTTTGGCCTTTAGCTCCTTAGACAGTGCCATTTCTGATTTTTCTCCAGCCAATTTTTGCAAAGCCTCCATTAACATGAAGTTCCGAGCTTCTTCAAACCGTGATCTCTCATTCACCCATAATTGATATTCATGATCAAACCTAGCTGTCTCTTGTTTCCTCCATTCCTCCTCTCTAATAGTCCTCTCTTGTTCTCTATGTTCGATGGTCTTCAACATCTTCTCCATCCAAGCCTCTTGTGTTTCCATTAGCTTCCTCATACGTGAGCCGACAAAATCCTCCATGTCTGCTTTCCAGCTCTTTCTAACCCTACCAAAACTATGGTCCTCATTGCATTTCTTCTTCTCTTTCATCATACATGCAATTGCCGAAAGATCACAGCCGTTGTTTTCTGACGATGAAGTTTCAAATTCAGAAGGGTTGGAGTTGGATGGGTTAAGGGCCTTAAGGCTCTCACAGAGCTTCTCGTCTTCCAATGGTTCATGGGTTGCTTGACTAATTATGAAGTCAGTTGAAGCTTCATGGCTTGTTTCTCCATAAAGGGCTTCAAGCTGACGAAAGAACCGATAATTCTTCCCATCTTGTCTTCCAGATTTACCTTCCTTTGTCTTCTTATAATACTTGTACAAGTTCTCAAATTTCTCTCTGCATTTCCTCCCACTTCTTTGGTACCCATATTCCTCCATCATTAATCTGCATCAAATTAAGGGCAAACAAAATTACAAAAAAAAAAAAGCTAATGAAGACGATGACAAAGATGGGTAGTAACTAGTAAAGATAACCCTACTTTCGAATTTAACGTCTGAAAAATATAATAAGAAGATGATCAAGCTTTCCATGTTAAATACCAAAAAACTATTCTAATCATAGCCTTATACTACAACGTTGTACTGTAACTGTTTTTACTTGTTACTCCATGTGTTTTTTATTATTAAATACCTAAAATGTTCCTCTATTGGATGTATCATGGATGTTGTATACTTTAATTGGCAGCCTTTTCCATAAACTCAACCAAAGAAAATAGGTTTTTTAAGCTTCAATTACAAGGGTAAAAGCTCATTCAAGAGAACAGCTAGTATGTACGAACAAAAGCAGCAAAAGATCAGAGGAAGATCATATTAACTTAAATGATTAATTATCTTCTCCGCTATGAAGCCAGGAACGGACCATAAGGATTACTTAGTTTTGTTAGGTTGAGAGTACAATAAGAAACCAGTTAGAATTAAGAAAAGAAGTCATTGTTAACCACAACACAGAATCGAATAGGGTTTTCTAAAACCACTAGCAAAAAATTTGGTCATCTGATCTGCATATCATCAGTGAGATACAAAAAAAAAAATACAAACACAAAAGGGCTTAGTTTAACTTAGCTTGCCAGGTACCAAAGGAAAAAATTAGAAGCATAGGCAAAGATATGCCTAATATATACCTAGAGACTTTTTTCGGAAAGTATATACCTCGAGACTTCATCCCATAAAGGTCCTTTCTGATTAGCTTCTTTGAAGTGATGATCAAGACGAGATCTGATTTCCAGAAGCGTTAGAGTCTCTTGTCTCGGCCATCGACTTCGTCCACCGTCGTTTAAACTATTGCAGCCACCCTCCATGCCTGAGTCAGCACATATATCAACAGAAGCTGAAGTATTAGTACTTACAGTCATGTTGGTGTTAGGTCCAAATTCAGCTAACCCACCACTATGACAACCCAGCATGATAGAGTTATAGAGTTGCGGTGGTGGTGGTAGCAGATTACGGTAGGGTTCTGAAGCTGGTGAGGGGGCCGGAAAACCCCGTTTTCCGGCCATGAGTTCTCTAAGATCCCTCGTGACGTACTGTTCACCCATCTATATTGGGTTTGAAACGAAGAGAGAGAGAGAGAGAGAGAGAGAGAGAGAAAAAGGAGATCATATGTCAGAGTTCAAATTGAGAAAGATCTTAAGCACTCAAAGTAGAGATGGGGCCAACAGAATAGGTACATATTCGAGTATGGTGGGCGACACGATCCGACTCTACCGCACCTTTGATTAATGCTCTCCCTCTCTAAAACCTGCAGTTCATAGTCTCGCAGATACAAGTGTGTGTGTGTGTGTGTGTGTGTGTGTGTGTGTAAAAGAGAGAGTAGAGAAGGTAAACCATGGGTTTCAATCCAAGCGTGGTAAGGTATGACAAAAAGGGACGCTTACTTGTTACACTACTCGCTAAACAGATAATTTTTGTTCAATAATAATTTAGTTAATTTATTATTTTTGTTAATAGACTATCTTTTTTTTTTTTAAGTTTGCGAGGTATTGAGTTTCTATTTATGAAACAAAATGATATCTAGGTACAATTCATTTAATATTATACCAAGGAATGAAAAAATAAAATTAAAAAACTTGCTTTTAGGTAATAATATCACGTAAATGGATTATTCTTGTTTATTATGTAAATAGATTGTGTGATTAATTTTTGAGTTTGCATAGGATTGGTGTTAATAAATCAACTTGATAACTAGATATGTGTGTGGGGGTGTTGCTTAGGGAATCAAAACAAAAAGAATCTATAGTTTTTGGACCAATAAGTGGCCGACAAATATTGGAAAGGTGAGGTGGTGATGATGATAGAAATCCAATGGCAGGACTGGGGTATGATCAGTTCACAGTGCCTAACTAGGGTTTCACTTTCAAGCAAGTATACAACGAGGCCATCCACATGGTTCTTGCTATAAATTCTCCTATGGATTATAGCACGTATAGACTAGGAGATTTAAGCCATTGAATTGTGTCAAAAAACAAAGACCATACTCTTGATCTGCATGGGGTGATGCACCTTTACAGTCGTTTTTAACATAAAATTTTTAGAATTGGATGAAGGATTATGCAAGAAAATATTTCATTGTCTGAACAAGTCCATACAAAAAAACTTGAGAGTTTATGGTTGCCCAAAGTGAGCAGTAAAGGCTCATTTAGTAGATAACGAGCGACCAATGTGTTACTACTTCTACGTGTAGTAAGTACCCATTCCTATCAAATTGAAAATCAAAGAGAGTGAAACTTGAAGAAGCGTGAGCCTCTTCCGAGACTAACAAGATCATTTGATTCAATCTGACACACTCTCAATATGTTTGGGACGACTCCTCTTATGGGTTTTGGGAGTCAAGTGAGATGATATGCTAAAACACTATTGTTTAATTAAACTTCTGTAAAAACAGCTTACTTATCAACACACTTTCGTTTCCTTGTTTTTGCTTTCACCGGTCATGGACCACGTACGTTGCATGTGAATAAATTTTTTATCGCTCATATTATATTATAAGATTCATAAATTTTTTTTGTTCCCAACAATTCGTTGTTCTAACAATAAAAAAAATAAAAAATAAAAAATAATTCATTTGATTAGGTTTCAACTTAAAATTCATTGAATAAAATAATAATAATTATTAATATTCTAATCAATACTTATTTTTTTAAAAGGTAACATAGACAATTAAAAAGTTTCATAAATATTAATATTTATACATAGAGAATAGAGAATTAAAAGAAATGTTAGGGGTAATTTGGAGATTTAAACACAATATGATATGATGGTAATTTAGATACTTAACTATGAAAGGATATTGTAATATTTAAAAATATTTATAAGAATAAATTATTTATACTTTTATTAGTAGTGTAGATTTATTTGTTTGTGCAAGCAACAATTACATAACAACCGTGAGAGAATACTTTGTCAATTAAAATAGACTAAATCGATATGGATTTATAAGAGAAATTACTATTAGTTCATAGAACAATTGAATCGATTCGTGGCTCTATTTTTGGAGGCAACATAAGATTAATTTCTTTGAACAATTTTTAGATAAGTTATGGAATTCTTGCTAGGGCAGGGAATCATGTATTGAAATATTTAAGGTAATTAGGTACTCTTCCCACGCCAAATGATTGTTTTTCTTAGCCAGTATAAACAGAAAAGAATAGTATGCTAAACATATGGTAGACACATTGATTCTAGTCCAATCATGACCAAACTACTGGGATTCGTGTACCAATAAATAATTATTATTACATGAACAAATATGTTCAATACTTGCGAATATATATAAGCAACCATGATAATGAATTCGGGATAAAGCTCATCATTGATTTGTTTTTGCGTGATTTATAACTATTGATTGAAAAAAAATAATTAATAATACAATAAATTTTACATATGCCATAATCTTATTGGACAAAAAGTGAAAATACAGTACTAAAAAATGAGATTTGGATAACGTAACTGGGCCAATGAATACTACCACTCAAGAAATGCATCACCCTGTGTATACAACCTCCAGAGGATGAATGATCGGATTGCACCTTTATGTAGGCAAAAAAGCCAAGTGAAAGATCTAGCAAACTTCTAGAGAAAATAATATAGCACACGTAACAGAAGACCGCATGACAAACCAGGACCGATGCATATCAATGAATATTTTAACTTTGATGTTTGAAATCATTCAAGACCCCATTCTAGAAAGTTTCGATGAACCTTACATATTGGATAATATGGCATCATCCCATTCACTAGTTAGGCATAAAAAATGCTTTCTCGTGGCCACCTTTCAAATAGTTTTCTTTTCTATTTTGTAATTTCGGGAATTTTTACAGCTATGTAAGCAAGGTGAGGATTTTTAGGTTAGCTTCGGATTGCTAGGGTTTCTTATTATTTTAGGTTGCAAAACTATTCAAGACCTTTTCGTACGTATTTTCAGAACTATTTTCATAGAAACCAATTTTCTTTTCTTCCTAAATTCTTTGGTATTCTAGGACTTGGCATAAAATTTGAAGCATTTTTTGTCTAGTGTTAGTCGTAACAATCGACAGATTTTAAGCCAGTGTGGTATTTTAATTTCATTCAATGACAAATTATGAATACAAAAAAGGGTCAAAAAAATTTAATACGGCTTATGAGACTCGATCGAAGTTGCATTTAGGGATGGACAGTTTCCTTACCACTCACACAGCCAAACTTTGCTCAACCATGCCTCCTGTTGGAGACAAGAAGTCTCTACTTGCATATTTCACAATCGTAGTTGATTCCAACAATGAAATGAATACAGTTAAAAATACAATACGATGACAATCATATATTGATTTTTCCATATGCTCCCTATGTTATTTACCACCTCCACTCCCTCAATGTTACAATCGTCTTTGCTTCAACGTGTAAATATTAAAGAGAATATTCCAAATGTCACTTTTGAATACTTTTCTCTGCCTTCTCTTAAGTTCAAGTGAAAAATTAATAAATGGAAAAGGCCCAAGCTGCATTTTATAAATGCTTTCTAAGATTTATAATTCAACTATCGGCATTAAACTATCAGTAGTCTTTACCCAACATTGGAACTCATTGCTAGTTCAATGACAACAATAACTTTGATCATAAATTTATGTCAATTCGTAAATTTGATTCAAGTAACGTTAATATTTTAATTTGATCCACAACCCTACAAAGGGTTTGTATAGGTTTCTAAAACCCATATAAGGTAATGTGTTACGAGCCAATAAACTTGGGTGTGAAAATAATATAATATAACCATAAACACATTTTTTTTGTCCCGTGCAATTACAGTATAATATTGAATAAAGTATGTTTAAAATATGCATGTATCCCTTATGTGTGTTCATCAAAAAATAAATAAACACATTTTTTTCATACAGGTTCGGATATTATCTATGTTGACTTAATTTTTCCTCCATTTATCCATTTTCGTATACATCTATACTTTATCTTCTTTTATGCTACCACTTCGCTATATTTCCAAATTTTTGGCGCCTCTCATTTCCTTCTTAAAAGTTTTTAGGCCACTAATGGAGTAAAATTTCCTCAAATACATTTTTTCTCAATTTTTTCCTTCTTGTTAGATCACTCATCGTGAAGAAAAATATTTTTTATACCTAATTTAATGACCTTATTTAATGACATGATAAATCATAGTCATTGAACTGATAGTAGGTCTCAACTAATACATAATAGGATCTACTTTCAATCTAATAACAGTTAATGATAAAATCAACAAATAAAACCACTAAATAAGGTCTATGTAGTATTGTCCATTCGTAAATTCAAGTGGGACCTATGGTATATAAACGAGTCTCGCTAGAAAGGAGAAAAAGCATAGGAGAGAATATGAATTCATCACTGATAACTTCAATTGGCTTGCAAATGGACTAATTATTGAACAAAATCCTTTTTTCAGTTTCTATTAATAAGCAAGCTAGGAGATAGTTACCCTTAAAGAAATAATGATAGTCAGTTTAAAGAAACCTTCTAATTTAGAAGTTTCAAAATTTATTTTATAATTGCCCCTAACTCTTATGTCCCCCCAATCCCCTCTTTTGGAAAAGAAAACTAGAGAAAGATATCTTCAAAAAGGGAAGTGGAAATGGCATGCAGCTTTCCGACAGTGTAGAAAGATGTTTTCGGAATGGAAATTAAAAACATAATAAAATTTTCATATAACAACAAATAAAAAGTGATGGGGATACTTGGTTAGGTCAACTCAACTCAGTATGATAAAATTTAGCCCAGTAAAATTGAGGCCGGGGGTAAAAAAATATGATTAAATGGCGTAAGCCCCACAATTTTCTATAATAAAAATGAATCCAAAGACACTAAGAAGATTTTGCATAACTTTGGAAGTAAGAAATATCCCAGAAATCAGTTCTATGTGAGAATTAGAGTGGCTATAAGGAGTGTAGCATAGCTCCCTTTTACTTTCTGTTAAACTTGGATCTTCCTTCAAGCCTTAAGTTCTCTAAGAGTTTTCACCCACTATGTATTAGTGAAAGACCCACTCATACATAATAATGTGTTGTACTTAAAT